TGCAAAAATTTAAAATTAAATTAGTAAAATTGAAAAGTTAGGACTGAATTGACATCTGTATAATAGGTTTAGAATAATTGGACAATTTTCTTGAAATCGATTTAGTGGTCTAGTCATCACTGACCGTTCTACGTGACATATCGCCACGTTAGCGATTTCCAATGAAAATTGGCCAGTAGGACTATATTAGAATTTCGCGTAAAAATTTAGGATTAAATTAGCAAAATTGAAAAGTTTAAGACTGAATTGATATCCGTACAAAGGTTTAGAATGATGGGACGATTTCCTCGAAATCTGCCGCATCGTTTAATATATCCATTTAGTATATAATTCTTAGTACATAGTACTATTCCTCACCATAATGTGCATGCATGGATGTCATGATTCTAGAGTTGAACGTGCATGCATCGTGAAAAAGCGAAAAGGCGTGCAAGCAAAAAAATTGCGGAATGAAATGCTGGGAAAAAGCAATTGACTTTTGGAAACATTTGATCTCCAAAAGCCACTTTTCCAGTATCATTTTCAATTAGGGGCAATTTAATTAATTGCGTAATGCTCGTTTTAAACCATTTATCTAGTATTAATTCCTGCATTTCCGCAAGTACTTTGAAGAGTTTTAGTTCATCCTTTGTGTACTAAATACAAGGCAAATGCATAGTCGATAGTATTAACGATAATGATGATGATTATAATTATCATCTTACATTTTAATGTTGGTGAGGGGTTTCAAACGTTAGAGCGCAAATTATAGGGTTTCGAATCAATCGGGATTGGAAAAATATGACGATGATGATTTTCTATGGTTTTTCTTGGTTAAATGAGGTTTTGGGCAAAATATATTTTTCGTCAATTCCTCGGCAGTGGAGGAAAAAAAAGGAAAAAAATTAATTCAAAAATTATAAAAATATTATTTAAAAATGTCAACGTTAACGCCGGCCACGCCAAGTAAGATAGCTGGGGCCTATGCCAATGATTTCCGACCAAAAATGGCCGAATGGACTGAAATAGAACAAATGGAAAAAGCTTAGGACTCAATTGGCAAAAAAAAAAGGTTTAAAACTGAATTGACACAATTGTTATAGATTTATGACTTTTTTGATAATTCTCCCATCTTCTTATCTATCGATTACAAACACAAACATCATCAATATCTTCTAATTAGTCGATTTACAAACACGTGCATGGCATCCTGTCGATTGAATTGGGTTGTCTAAGGATGAAACTAATGTGGACGAGTGAAAATAGATGCCGAGGAATCCGCACACGTGCAGGGCATGGAGCGGCCTCTAGCTAATCGGGCGCAATTCGTTGTCGTATTAACATAATCAACAGATATATGTATCCTATCAATATTATTACGTAATAAATCGAAATATTAGTAATTACCCTCAACCGAATGGCTCGAGTTTTCTAGGCCTAAAGTTCGTGTCAACGTCTTACTAATTTTGTTCTTAACTCTCGAATATCATGCTGGAGGCCTTCATTGCCCGTTCCCTTTTTGTGGCCTAAAAAATATGTAGTCCAACGACTTTGGGCGGCCCATTTCGTTGGGCTTTGCCTTGGCTAACATTGATGCCTTAAAAATATAATTTCAAATCTTTTCAACTATGGTCGACCCACCCAAGAAATAATAATAATTCGACTATGCTTAGGTTGATGCTTGAGAATAACTAGTTTTAATTTTTTTTTATATTATTTTCGATGCAAGGGTAGTTGTGGAACATATTAAAAGTGAGACGAATGGTACTTTTGGCTTCATATGTTCAGATTTTTAACCGTGATTTATGTCGTCAGAACTAGCAACTATAGATCCAATATGGCCTAACGATTTGCCCGTGCCCCCACAGGCAGTTGTGTGGTTGGCCACCTTTTCCGTGGTGGTCCAACCACAATAGGTAAAGTAAATGGTGTTTACATATATATAATTGAAATGATGTCTAAAGCGATGAAAATGAAAAGGTTCGTCTCCATGCCTAGCCCGAGAAATAAACCCAACTCGACAAAAAATTTAATGACGTGAAAGTTGGTGTCAAATTTATTAATATCAGAAAAATGAGTACAATCTCTAATTTGAAACTTGTTTCAGTGTTAATTCGAGTGCTCTAGCTATTGATTTCGAATTAACAATCAAAGAAATTGATTCTTGAAATTCTCCGGTCAAAATTCAGCAAAAGCTGACGAAACGACAGGGCTTGAATTAATATATCCCGACGACGATGGGGCTTTGGGAAGTGTGATCAGGTGAAACTTCGGAATATGTAGATGAAGACGACGGGGCTTGCGCCGTTGCGCGTGTATATCCAAAAAGTTTCGCGATACGAATATTTTCTTTGGAAATCTTTATAATCAAGCAATTAAATATTACTTTATGACAACGAGATTTTTTTTTTTGTGTGTGTGTGGAAATTCCCATGTCAACAAAGACAATTATTCATCATATAAATTAATTAATCAATATGGTTAACTTTTAACTTCATAAACAACCAATCCAAAGTGCACGACCAGTGGCCAAACATTTTTCTTTACCTAATACTGATTATGAAACATGACTATATTATTACAACATGTGACGCACAGTGACGATCCTTACGACTATTCTCCGAATGGTTTGGTACGATGATTGGTGGCAGTTGACTTGGCAACCTTTTCACAATCACCTAGAATAGTTGTCACAATTAATGAAGCACTGTACGCACGACTTGACCATTTTAACTTGCTTTACGAGCAATCTTGCGGATCCGCGAATTTGGGTGCGCATTTCTTAGCATCGGGAAGTTGCGGGCTCGAATCGATTGGTGCATAAGCCGGGATCGGGGACGGCTCGGGCCGTAGCGGACCCGCGACTGTTGATCCGGTGCTACCGGTCCAAATTGCGACACACATACACCGAAGGACTTAGCCGTTGCTCCTTTTCAGGTCGTGTTTGTTAGTATCATAATTTACGTAGATCACATTAGATTGTACCTGGCGAGGATAACTAATGACATAAAGCGGGCGAAACTGGAAAATAGAGAAGACTCCACCCATGGCATTTGAAAATGAGCAATTCCGGCATACACTGACATCGTAAAAAATACCATTCAACAAGCGGCCTTATCCACCATCGATTTGATGGTCAATGAGAAATCGGGCAGTCGGAATTCTCGGATCAAAAGAGGATTAGTCAGCTTTGTGTAATGTGTTATTCATATAGGCGGCATACGCCGTAGTTTTCTTTCGAAAATTCACTGACACGAGTACATAAAATCAATCTTGGGATTTCGATCTTTCGAAAAATCACACGCAATACTCTTTTTCCTCGATCATGGACAAAATAAAGGATACGTCCCAATTAATTAAGGCAGTACAAGAAATTGATCAACAGATAAATCCAATTAGCCGTATACTTCTAGGGTTTCTTGAGCTTTGTGTGTACATGAAGGCGTATCTCCCGCGTATCTCCCATGTGATTAGCAGAGAAAGCACGTCGAATTATTCCGTGCACTAAACTCTTGCTTAGCCCGGTCTAAACTCCATCTCATTGACAACTTCAAACCATTCGCAAATGTAAATTTTAAAAAATATATATAAATATTTTTGTATCAATGTGAACAGATGTGTTCACATTCGCTTCCCACACGCAAAGAACACTTCAGCTTTTGTACTTTCCTTAGTGACCTTCAATTGGTTTAGCTCCGGGATCGAACTATGCACAAAGTCGAGTCGAACGATCCGCGTCTACGACTTGAAAGGTCCGAATGATCGAATTAAAGACGGGTGACCTGGAGATATTTGTGTGCATTTACGGAGTATGATGATCCGGGCTTATTACCGCGTGAAAATCGGTGTCGTCTGAGAAGAGATATGATGGAAATTCACAACGCTTGCGCGAGCACCAATTAGTTTGATGTCGTGCTCACGGTTTTTTAATTTTTGGTGTGTGAAATGCGTAACGTCTAGTGAACAACATTGAGATTAAATTATTCTCTAGCTAATAAAAATCCCGGGATCGAAATATAAAAGTACTCTAACAAGAATTATATCGTTCTCAATCTCCGATTCAGAAGGTAAGACTAGATGAGATAAGGTTTTCTTTATATGGATCAGAGTGAGGATGGGAAACTCGACAACCGGACAACTTTCTATAAAGGGCAATTTGACGCATCACTTAATAAATTAAAATCGATAAGATTTACTGTACGTGGCTAGCGTTGCTTCAAGAGTTTCTAACCCTAGCAACATTCCAAATTTCAGAACCCAATCTTCTTTTAGGCCAACCATTAGGACCCACTTGTTTTATTCCTTTGGCCAAAAATTCAAGAACCCGACTATGCTTTTCGAGGATCGAACTCACAGCAAGTGTCCAACAAATCAAGGCATCTTCATGGCGAGCCTGACCTGTAAAAACTCCAAGAAAGAACATTCCCACACTCTTGCTCTGCTAATTAAGGCAAGAATCATCCACCGATCGTGATAAGAATAAAGAAACATCAATCCATTCACGTACATATTCATAAAGACTTCACCGCACGGCACGCATCTTGCAGCAAAAAAGTTTCTGTGATCTTGAAGTTAACCCTTTTCCCCTTGGCAATACGTGGGAAAGTTGCTCAGTTTCACTCAGTAACGTAACTTGAATGGCTTCCCCAAAGTTTGTGCTTCTGAGAAACTACACACGTTTGAAAGTTTGTGAGGGGTTAACGTTGATGACGGTAGGAGTAGCGTCAAACACGAACCGCAATCGACACGAAGCACGCATGTTGCAGTGCTGATTATTTAGGTATATGATTAATGTCGAATGAACCTCTGAAAACATCGAACATGGGGTTGAGTGATTACCCATTCTTTTGCCTGCTGTAGCTGTGTTGGTCCCCGTTTACTTCCAAGATTTAAAAAATGTGGACCTTGACTTACGTATAATTTATGTCCAAATTGCGAGAAGTTGAATTGAGATTCCATAGTTGGCTGGATATGTACTAACCCTAGCTTGCGGAGAGAGATCAGTACAGCAAAGCGATCAGTTTATGAAGTCATATTTCTGTAATTTTATTTATTCAAAGAATGAAAGAATGTTCAGTGACAACTAATTGATAGTAATCAGCCAAGGGAGGCTGCAAGAATTTCACAAATGACAATCATCATCAGTTTCTTTTGCTGTACAGAACATCAGATCAACCCTAGCTACAACAAAGCCTACAACAATTGATCCTTCCAAGAAAAAAAAAACGAAAAGTAAAGTAAAGGGTAATCTTTGTAATTCACGTAAGTGTCTGAAATCATCTTTGGGACGACCCCACGTCCTCTTGGTCCAAGAAGAACCTCGGCCTTTTCGCCGGAAGAGGGCTCTCCACCTCTTGCTCGCCGGAGAGTTGACTTTTAGAGTCCTGGTTGCTGCTTTCGTCGATGCCGACCCAGAATTCCGGCAAGGCCGGCAAGTTCAAGTCGATCGGTTCCCGGTGGCTGACGGTTACGTGGCTCGAGCCGCCGGCTTCTGAGGAAGAGACGCCGGTGGCACCGCCGGCGGCGCCGCCGCTACTGCTGCCGGCGTCGTAGTGACACCGCTTGTGGCCACCCAAGGCCTGGCCGGTGGGAAAGGTCTTGTGGCAGATGGAGCACTCGTGGAGCTTACCGCTGCCGACGCCGACCGGGGCGGAGGAGGACGAGGTAGGGTTATCGGTGGCGGCGGGGGCGGCGGAGGTGGCCTCGGAGGAGGATTTCCGGTGGCTGGCCTTGTGGCCACCGAGGGCCTGGTAGGAAGGGAAGGCCTTGTCGCAGACGGAGCACTTGTAGGAGAGCTTCACGGTCGGGGCCTCCGGTGGGTGACGGCTCTCGCCGCCGCCGCCGCGGGCGAGCATGATGAGGCAGAGGGCGAGGTACTCCTCCTCGGAGGGCGGGTCCTGGGGATCCACGCGGGGCCGCTTCGAGCGCTTCCGCTTGGCCCACGGGTGGCCATCCACGTCGTCGTGGCCAAAGGAGGCGGCGGCGGTGGGCGAGTTGAGGGCTTCGAGCGCCATGTCCAGTGGCTGAGAACTACTGGTTTGAGAGAGAGAGAGAGAGAGAGAGAGAGAGAGAGAGAGAGGTGTAGGTGCAGAAGCTTTGTAGGTTAGTCTTTGTGTTTATATAGTGGAGAAAGATCAGCTGGAGGTGAAGTCGGTCAACTGAATTTTTAGAGAGAGAAAGGAGAAGAGAAGAGGTAGGAGTGGGAAGGAAGAGGAGGACTCAGCTTGCTTGAGTGACTTTGTCAAGTCAAAACACAATGGCACGCCTGCCTTCCTTTCCTTTTCTTCTTTCCTTTTTCCTTTTTCCCCCTTTCTTACAAAGAGAGATGTTGCAAATTGAATCGTTGAAAGTGTTCTCTAAATTGGGTAAATGCTCACTAAATTAGAAGATGCGGTTCGACGTGGATCGACTTTTAAATGACTTTGATGTATTCACTGAACCACGCGTTTTGAGTTGATCATGATGATCCGTATCATAAATAGAATTGATTGTAGCAAATCATTTATAGGATGATGACGGTCCGGCTTCCGGTAAAAGGGCAAATTAAAAAGCATTATATAAGTGCTATGGTAAGGAAGGGAAATATGTAATTTTTCTTTTTTCTTAGAGAAAGAAAGAGACAAAAAAAGATTTTCTAGGGCCAACAGATTTGGGTCCTCCACATATGCCCTCAGAAAAGTCATTCCAACCCTCATTGTGATCACCTCCTTCACTATAGTTTTTTTTGGTCCAAGTGGTACTATAGTTCTAATCACAATAATTTATTTATCATAATAAATTCAAGACAATTTCTCATTTAAAATTCCCCCACCCCCCAAAAAAAAAGAACTTAAAATAATAGATGAACCGTCAAGATCCATCTCTCACCTCAGCCATTAGATCACTATTAGTGGGTAAAAAATCATAATTGACAATTGACTTTCCCACAACTTAAAAAAAAAAGTAATGTAGTTTCGAATTTCCTCGGAGGCTCGGACGCTTCAATTTTCCCTTTATGAATTTTGTGGATAAGGCACTAACTTTTGCCCCCAAAAAAAGTAATAATTTCATGTGCATGTCACATCATCTCGATTAAACCGTCAATCGGCCTGTAATAATCAACGAAATATCTCATTAACTGAACAAGGTCACATCGCAACAATTTCTAAAATGGGGGATTCTTTGATACCACAGGAACACTAGTTTGTCCTCACAAATTGTGAAAGTTTTGACGGCGTTAGACTCTCCTATCTAAAAACAAATTAAACTATTAAATAAGGAGAGATCATATGTTTATAAAGATTATATAAATCTCGTAAATAAGCGATACGAGGTACTTTAACACCCCTTTTCATCTGCTAGTCGAATTAAGGACGACGTGTAGAATTTAATGATCAGAATGCCATATACGTCAAATAAATTAGGGCAAAGTCATGTTCAAACTTCCAAGTTAAAATTATTAGATGGAAAAAAATCGCACATATATAAAGAGTACATCAATATTGTAAACAAGTGATTTTTGATATTGTGGCTAATGGTGTTCTATCCAAAGATGAATGGGTAAATGGCGAAAGCAATTTATCCATTATTATATTAGTGAGGCTGAGTAACCCAAATGTTGAATAAGTCAACTTGTTAGAATGTCCTTGGTCAAAAAAACAAGAGGGGATGCTCCTTTTTGCCCTCCCTCCACGCATGAAAACTTGTGTGCATTTTTGTTTCGCGAAAAAATAAATAATTTAAAAAATATCTTTTCTAAAAATAATTACTTATATTACTTTAAATAATTTATCAATGAAAAATATTTCACTTCCGATAACAAATTATGTATAAATATTTTCATCACGCATGTATAAATTTAAATTTTTTAGCAATCCCAAAAAAATTAATTTGAAGTTTTTAGTGGTATTATTTTTTTTTAAAAATAATACTTCGAAATTTGCGTCACGTAATGATTGGCCAGCTAATTGTTGTGAATCTAGGGGGACAGCTCAGCTCATCTTTGGGGAGGTGGACAAGCAACTAAATGATTGGCCACGTGTTTAGCATTTAATCCTCCGATGATTGATCCTCGTTTATCATTTTCTTTTTTTTTATATATATTTTGTGTTTTTCTTTTTCTGGTTGTAGTTGTAGTTGGCGTTGGCGTTGGCTGCTGGCTGACAATTGCATCGTGACAGCCGCCACCACGAGCCGTCGCTTTAGCTCACTCCCAAAGATTAGTCCGCGCCCGAAGTTGTATTCGCAATTTGATTATTTGCGCTGGCTGCTTGGCATTTTTTAATTGATTAGAAGAAAGGATAGAACTTGTTTTAATTGGGCTCGTAAATCACTAATAAGGAGAAAACGGTCAAGAAAAGGAATCGCCCCATAGCTGTGAAGGTAATCCGCGCGCGTCCTTACTTGATTAATGTCCGCGATAGAAAGATCAATAACCAAATTAATATTAGATGTTAAAAAGGAGAAGTAGATGGGCGGTAAGATTTTCTTTCGTGACATGGGGCTATTCTAATCTTTTATGTCACCCGTGTGCATTTGATATGGCTCTAATTAAACTTGTCAAAATGGATTATAAGCGCATTTCTTAACCCATATTTGATAAGTTGAATTGTTATATGAGTTGATTATATTGATAAATGAGTAATAAATGGGTTTAGATGGTAAAATCCAAAATAATACTGATGTTAAATGTGTTCACAACTTAGTCGGACCTAACCCACCTCTGCGACTTTTTTTTCACTCTCTTTTGTCCTAATTTGATTTCGCTTTCGCTCACTCTGCGCTCTCACATCGGTTTGAATATGAATTTTCCTAAATTTGATTAAATATGAAAGTGTTTTAGCAATATGATCGGGTCGGGTATGGGTTACTAGATTTGTATTGCATGGAAATCGATCAAAACGAGTTAAATGGGCTCAATTTGGATCGGATTATTTTCGACCTGACCTACTCCTTTTGACAAGTCTAGCTCTAATTAGTGGCTGATTAGTGTGGCCCTTGAAATCACTTCAAATGGGAGATGGCACGATTCAAACACGAAAAGCTACTGCATTTGAACTAAGTGCTTCGTTACTCACCGAACCCGATTTTGTTGTTATTCATTCGATCCCCATTCTACCATATTTCCCTTCGACGGCTTCATTTCTTAGTTTTTTTTTTTTGGAGAAACAATTTTCTAATATGTGTAATCGCGTCACTATCTTTTTCTTCCGTTCTCGCTCGTTAATCACGCATATTCTATTGCAACTTCTCAATTGCATACTAAATCATACACATTTACTTGCTCTTATGATTTTGATAAGTATTCTGGAACTCGGGTTTCATATCACATGAATTCCGCGTTCCATAGTAAACCAACAACGCGATGAACATGTAGCGTCTAGTCTTGCCAATTTTTTTCGATATTAAATTATGCTTAGGAACATTATGTTCATACATAATCAAATAATGTCGTGATGACCATACGTCGCGTGGCGAAGTTACGCGCTGAATTAGCTCAAGTAAAGACACCCAAAAACGAGCTGGACAAAGTGATTTTAGTCCCACTCGTCTCACGCAATTAGCGCGGGAGGGATAGTGGCACTACGCTGCTCCGCCCCCGCACTGTTGCTTATCCTGCACCAACGCGCAACCGCCGATCGGACGGCACGCGACGCGCTTCGTCCCCCCGCGCCACCACCACCGCTCGATCGACACGTGGCGCTGTCCGGCGGACCGTTCTTCCGGGTGACGGTTGCTTTCCACGTGGTTGGCGAGCCGACAAGCAAATTGAAAGCCGTCCCGTCCGTCTGTTGTTGGTTGGGGATCAGCGCGGGGCGCCACGTGGATTATTCACGTGCAATTTTTCGACACGTATGTCGTCTTCCGCTTTTTTTTTTTTTTGCCTTTTTTGTTTGGTTGGTTGGTTATCCTCTCGAATCCCATTCTCTTCTTTGTGCTGGCCGTGCACGTGTCCGGCTTAATGCTGGGGTGAGCAAAATTGACCAAAGCTAAATTTGATTTTATGAGGAGATTTGGGAAGATGATTGTTTGAATATTCGAATGCGAATTATTTGTGCATTATCCTTGGAAAGGGACGGACCGAGAAGTATTTTGTGTATCTATCACTAGGTAACCGTGACATGACTTGACGATTAATATGTTTGAAAGATGTGACACTTAAATTTATTGATCATATTTACTGCACGACAACTCTATACATATAGTCCTAAGTTCTAATATTAGTGATATCGGGCGAGGCCACCCTAGGCATTTTTGCCAACACGACATTGTCCACTTTGGACCAACTCATACGGCTTTAAGAGGGAAAAATATTTAAAAAGTTATAAACTTACAATTCAATTCTAAACCTTTCAATTGTACCAATTAAGTGCTAAACATTTTACAATTGCTAATGTAGTCCATCCAATCAATTTTGATTGGAAATCGCTGATATGGTAGTCCAGTCAAGCTCGGCTATCACTGATCATCACATGCGGCATGGCTGGGGCAATCGGCGTGACAGACACTGACAAGGACAAATTTTTTTAAATTTTTTTGAAAATTTCTCTTTTTTGTTTTTTCTGTCGTGACGAGGGTCGCCCTGCCCTTGCTAGACTTGGGCAAGGGTCACCTCGCCCATGGCCAGTGAGAGCCTGGACAAGTGGTCCCTCTGCCGCATTCAATGTGGGCTTGGGCAAGGGCTTACAGGCCCTTTGCCCAGTGACTGGCGAGGGTCATCGGGCCCTCACTGGCAACAATAAAGAAAAAAAAAGAAAAGAAAAATAAATAGAAAGTAAAAAAAATCAATTTTTATTGCAAAAATTGTCCATGGACGTGATTTCCGACAAAAATTGATTAGAGGAACTGTATTGGTAAATCGTCAAAAGGTTTAGGATTCAATTAGTACAATTGAAAAGTTTAGGATTGAATTGACACAAATATAATAAATTTAAGACTTTTTTGGTACTTTTCCCACTTTAAGACGCGTTGTGATAGTATGAGGTTGAATGGAACTTCTAAAACCTAGTAGTTGCTGAGTAGAATCTTTAGGTTTTTAATTTCAAAAACATATTCTAAAATTGATTAGTACTTGTAATAATTTTCATCAAATTCGTATTGACCGGTTTGTTTATCGCATCATTAATAGTAACTCATGTGTAAAATACTTTCTAACGATAAGGAGTATTTAATTCATTCGTTGGTGTTATGTAAGTGTATAGGTATGTACTTTTGATAAAGTAAAGAAGTAAAGCGAGACAAAGCTTAATTAGAAAAGAGACTGACGTCAAATCGGATATAGAGATCAGCACGTCAGTTTCAAAAGACTATTATGTTCGGTATCATTTTGAAGTATGAATCGATAGATTTTCAATCTCGAAATCATCTACAAAAACCAATTTATATTTACTACATTCGTCATCAAAAATAGTACCAACCGGTTTGTTTATTAACATCGATAATATTAACCGATGCATGCAGTTTCTAACAATAAAGCGTATTTCAGTTCATTAGGCGGTGTTACATAAGAACATATATGTTTTTTTTTTATTATAAATAAAGACGTAAAGCGAGATAGAACATATGTAGAAGAGGGACCGGCATGGAAGCGGATATAGAGATCAGCACGTCGGTTTCAAAAGGGTATTCCGCTCAATATGATAAGGCACTTCGATGCAGAGTTCTCTTACTGCACTAGAAAAACCAGTCTGGATACGTCTTCAACTTTGTCAAAAGAAGAATATGGTGTGGGTGGTTTGTGTTTTGGTCAAAATGCCAATTCGTTATAAGTGGCGTCGAGATCAAGAACACGCAGATATAGAAAGGGGGACTTTTGCAAAGAGAGATGGTAGTATTTCTTTAAGCCAATTCAATCTTTGGCTTTGAGCCGGACAAACAAGCTGAAGTCATGCCTCACATAATCATCGGTCAACTTCCTCACTTCCGCCATCCCTCGCATCCTTTGACAGCTTATGCTTTTCAACTTCGGACGAGTCGACGGTAGTGCTGCTTACCGGCTTTTGCGTGAAAGAAGGTGTTGCGTCGGAACACGGTGTGATGACCATTTCGTTTCTTTCTTTAAACATTCCAACGAGTTGAGTAGCTGGAGTGATGAAAATAAGTCGCTGCACGATATTTTGTCGTTGATCTCCGCAAGTTTCCCGGACTCATTTGCCTTTTAGGCACCGAGCCATGGAGATGGAGCGAAAGTATGTCTCAAGTTGCTGCAATTATATAAAGGGTCGGGACGATAATAGAGTCGAAGTGTAGCGTTCCTTAAGGACCTTAATTTGTTTCATAGTAGCCTCGACTTTGGTAGATTATGAATTAGGAGAAGGGCAAAAACATGGTGGGCTTCAAGGGGCTGCAAACGCAGTTGTCACGGGCTGGCAATTTCTTGGCCACGGAATAGCCCGTGCAGCACTTGGCGAGCCGATAAGACCCTAGGCCAGCCTTCATTTTACAATTGTTCTTAATAACAGTATGGCAAATAGTATTCTCGTATCGGATCGTATCATGCCTAGCTTAGCTTGGGTATCCAGTCCCTCAAGTGAGACACGCTTTAGGCACAACAACTAGTTTTGACATGCTATAGCCTCATTTGGAGAGCGATATCAGCTCCCAACTAGTTTGTGCACGGGTGGCCAATCTCGTTTTAAGAGCTCCTAATAATATATTCATTCTAACCTATAACTCATAGTACAAACTAATTGACACCACTTTCATGAACCAATTGTATCATCCAACCTCTGTATCATTCACTCTTTACTCCGACACCACTAAACTCCACTAACCAGGATATGAGAGTACGAGAGAATCACGGTCCGTGACACAATCACATGAGCTTTTCAAACAAAGCATACGTCGTGGTGCCCCGTTCTCTCGAATGTCGAATCGATCCAGGAAGCTTAAAAGCAGTGAGCACGGATCACGACTTGATGTACTCGGAGCGAGACTCGTTGGAGATGATTTGGCCAATCTCCTTTACCCTTGTAGTGGGTTTGATACTGACCCCTGTCAATCATTGTTTTTCCTAATGGGATCGCGCCATGACAGGAATAAGTCCATTTACCACTCTTACTATGAGTAACCCCAATGAATTCATCACAACGGGGGACCTCAGAAGAATTGGTCATTGAGAGCTTTTCACAACTTACCGTGCCCGTTTCGACGATCAATAACTTCAGTGACCAAGCCTTTCAATTGATCCATTCGGGGTACTCCTTCGATTGACAACCTCAAATTTAAATGCACTTTCACGTTAGATGTAACAATTTAACTGCAATATTGCACCTCCTCGATCATTATGTAGTCATAACATCTTTGAAATCTTCCCTTTCATTGAGAGAATTTCACCATTAGAATTCAATGTTTCGCCATTAATCGGCTGAGGGATCCTCTCTCCAGAGCACTTATATCAAACTGCCATTTTACATCATAAAAAGAGCGCCCTTCACATACCAAAACTATGGGGTGATCATAACCAAAGGGAAATACTCCATGAACTTACATCAGAGCATGATATATTTACACCTTTCTGGATCTACTGGTCAAATCGCTACGCAAAACCTTGAAGACCCCGAATTTGAGAGACTTTATGTGCAAGGTAGTCGGAGAATTGACACTAGCACAAAAAGAAGAAAGACGAAAACAAAAGCAGAAAAGATTGCTTTTTATTGATTCTCCGCTGCGCTGCTCGATAAAAGGAGGCATTATTGGACTCCTGAGTTCATATTGACGCTGAAATGGCCTAAGGTAATGCTTCTGATTTTCATCTCAATCAATGTGAATCGGGCCATTATCAGCGCCAGTTAAAATGGAGACCTTGAACACAGTATCATCCCTATCGATGAGCTCAAACACGCAGACATTTCCTGCACGCACATGAGTTTCTCTAGCGAATGTACGCCAACCGGCAGAGAAGGACAGATACAGAGTCCCACTGGCCCGTCCACGGCTCCTAACGAGCTTCACTGGCCACAATCTATCCGAATACCGAAGAGTTGCTATTTGTTTGTTTTCTTGAATATGTTGTTTGGCAAATCCAACCGGTACACTCTGCACATGTACATGTTTTGAATATCCAATACATGAGAGCCGTTCAATTGAACATAAGACATGTGAGTAATGATTTAAGCTCAAGACTCACCAGGCAACTCATATAAGATCGCGGGATCACCATTTTGAAATAGGGATGCTCCGTATCAATATTTATGGCTAATTCAGGAGATATGAGAGACCTTGGAACGGCAGGACCATGAAAATCCGGCTCAGAATGGCTCGCTCTGCATGCAGACTGTTCTATCCCACCTGTAGTGAAATAATGAGAACTTTAATAGACATTGGTGTTAACGTCTCTTTGACTTGCTATGAAAAGATCTAGCATAGATTGGAAATTACTGTTATCATCATGGTGTGATGCGCAAGCCTCACAAGAAGTTCTTCATATCAGAATAAACTTACAAATTACAAGTTGCACCAACATGCAAAAAGACTTGTATAAAATCTTCAAGAATTTGAAAAGAGATAACGAAAAGAATGTGATGCAAGTAGAAATTGGCCTTGTAAAACCACAGGTTGTCTAAGGACAGTGTAATTGATATTATTACACTTTATTAGTTCTATAGGTCAGGTTGAACCACTATAAACTTTAAAGAAGCGCCAAATTTGAGAGTTTCTTCTGATGGAAATTACATAATTGAGACTAGTGCAAGAAAGAAGAAACCTCAAGGCAAGTGTGTTCGACGTCACTACGCTGTACAGTTCTAAAAGTCAGGTTCGAGCCAACAGAAATCTTAAAGAAATGCCTAATTTGAGAGATTCTTTCTAAAAGGGGACTTACAGAATCGACATTAGCAGACGATAGGAGAAAAAAATAAATGAGTCTACTTTTCATTGACTTGCCACTACCAAATGAAGAAGGCATAATTAGGAATCCTGAATTCATATGGACAATGCGAATGGTATAGAGTAACACTTCTGATGTTAATCTCAATCAATGTGATTTGGGTCCATACCAGCACTACAGCAGATGGAGACGTTGAACACACCATCATCCCTATCAATGAGCTCAAACATGCAGACATCTCCTACATGCAGACGGTTTTCTCTTGCAAATGCAGTCCAACCAGCAGAGAAGAGTGCCTGGCGGTGCTGCAAATTTCTTAAAATCTTCACGAGCCACGACCCGTCTGAATACCTAAGCGTCACCATTGCCCTTTCTTTTTTAATATGTTGCCTGACGAATCCAACAGGAATATTCTGCACATACGCACATGTTTGTACAAACGAATGTATGCTTATAGAAGGACCATAACGTCAGCACACACTCTGAAGGAAAAAGCACACGAGAAGAATAATCATGATGATATTTGCTAGTTTCGGGATTTTCAGTCGACAGCTTTAAGAGGCTCATGAAATTCAATGATCTTAACCTGCAATCTAAAGAATTCTCCAAAAGTGATTGTACATTAACAGACAGTTTTCCATTCAAATGCTGTCCATCCTTTCACTTGGATAGTGATTAAATCAGCTTATGCAGAATTTCCAAGTGAATGGACAGTCCTGACATTTTAATTATTCTTTTTCCCCGTTTCCCATTATTCAATCAATGGACGCCCCACAAACACTCCGAGAAATAACATGTCATATGGTACCTGTTACAAACCAAATCAACTTGGGAAAACACAATACTAAGGCAAGATTTAGAAAGCAATCCTAGTTGAACTTGAGAACCGTTTAATTGAACATAAGACATGTGAGTGATGATTTAAGCTCAAGACTCACCAGGCAACTCATATAAGATCGCGGGATCACCATTTTGAAAAAGGGATGCTCCGTATCAATATTTATCGCTAATTCAGGAGATATGAGAGACCTTGGAACAGCAGGACCATGAAAATCCAGTTCAGAACGACTCGCTCCGCATGCAGACTGTTCTATCCCACCTGTAGTGAAATAATGAGAACTTTAATAGACATTGGTGTTAACGTCTCTTTGACTTGCTATGAAAAGATCTAGCATAGATTGGAAATTACTGTTATCATCATGGTGTGATGCGGAAGCCTCACAAAAAGTTCTTCATATCAGAATAAACTTACAAATTACAAGTTGCACCAACATGCAAAAAGACTTGTATAAAATCTTCAAGAATTTGAAAAGAGATGACAAAAAGAATGTGATGTAAGTAGAAATTGGCCTTGTAAAACCACAGGTTGTCTAAGGAAAGTGTAATTGATATTATTACACTTTATTAGTTCTACAGGTCAGGTTGAACCACTATAAACCTTAAAGAAGCGCCAAATTTGAGAGTTTCTTCTGATGGAAATTACATAATTGAGACTAGTGCAGGAAAGAAGAAACCTCAAGGCAAGTGTGTTCGACGTCACTACACTGTACAGTTCTAAAAGTCAGGTTTGAGCCAACAGAAATCTTAAAGAAATGCCTAATTTGAGAGATTCTTTCTAAAAGGGGACTTACAGAATCGACATTAGCAGACGATAGGAGAAAAAAATAAACGAGTCTACTTTTCATTAACTTGCCACTACCAAATGAAGAAGGCATAATTAGGAATCCTGAATTCATATGGACAATGCGAATGGTATAGAGTAACACTTCTGATGTTAATCTCAATCAATGTGATTTGGGTCCATACCAGCACTACGGCAGATGGAGACATTGAACACACCATCATCCCTATCAATGAGCTCAAATATGCAGACATCTCCTACATGCAGACGGTTTTCTCTTGCAAATGCAGTCCAACCAGCAGAGAAGAGTGCCTGGTGGTGCTGCAAATTTCTTAAAAGCTTCACGAGCCACGACCCGTCTGAATACCTAAGCGTCACCATTGTCCTTTCTTTTTTAATATGTTGCCTGACGAATCCAACAGGAATATTCTGCACATACGAATGTAAGCTTATAGAAGGACCATAACGTCAGCACACACTCTTAAGGAAAAAGCATACGAGAAGAATAATCATGGTGATATTTGCTAGTTTCGGGATTTTCAGTCGACAGCTTTAAGAGGCTCATGAAATTCAATGATCTCAACCTGCAATCTAAAGAATTCTCCAAAAGTGATTGTACATTAACAGACAGGTTTCCATTCAAATGCTGTCCATCCTTTCACTTGAATAGTGATTAAATCAGCTTATGCAGAATTTCCAAGTGAATGGACAGTCCTGACATTTTAATTATTCTTTTTCCCTGTTTCCCATTATTCAATCAATGGACGCCCCACAAACACTCTGAGAAATAACATGTCATGGTACCTGTTACAAACCAAATCAACTTGGGAAAACACAATACAGAGGCAAGATTTAGAAAGCAATCCTAGTTGAGCTTGAGATATGCCAGTTGTGGGTGAAACTCGAGATCTTACAATTCTTGTACCCTGATATATCACCAGTTTGAAGAAGGGATTCTCCGAATGAAACTTGTTGGCTAATTCAGGAGTAGTGAGAGGCCTCAGAGGTGTAGGACCATGAAAAACTGGCTCAGGAAAAACTTTAATAAAAAAGTTATCAAGTTTTTCTGGAAAAGAACTAACTAAAGAGAGTGATGTAAGAAGAAACGTGACTTATAAAATGAAGAGTCACACCTTCGGACGCTCGTGGTGAGTAGATCGGACTTAGCTGAGAATAAGGTAAATGTGGTTCAACCCTCATTCTTCGACGGGGTGTAAAATCCTCCAGATCTTCTGCTTGTAGGACATCTTCTGTATTTGGTGGAGGCAATTTGCTCCCGAGGTATGATGTTTGGCCGCTGCTCGACGAATAATTTATCTCTGAAGCACTCTTATTGAATATTATTACGTGAAAAGTGGAGTTCCCTTTATATTTGAAAACTATGAGGTGACCATGACCAATGCAGTAATGCTCCGTGAATTCCCGCCACCCTTTCCACAATGAAACCATGTTATTGTTACGCTTTTCTAGTTCTATAGTCCAGGTTGAACCGCCCGGAACCTTGAGAAGCACGGAGTTTGAGAGATCCTTTCCACATCTTCTCAAGAAACTCTTTGGAATTCCCTATTATGAAAAAATTAAAGTTACAGGTCCATGATAACTCATCATAGTCAAACCAAAGTGCAGAGAAAACGAAGAAAACTAAGAAATTTTAAATTCAGCAACATGGATGAAAGATCAGTTTCCCCAAGTGTGCTTCCGAATATTTTTGGATCGAATTGTTGTTATAGTTGCTTCATTGGACAAGCGTAAAGCTCGAGAATCCAAAATGTCATTTACAATAAGATCTAGTGAAATTGTCGTGCCAAATCCGACAGTTGACATAAATTTATCTAGATTGGATGGCAGAGACGTTTTGTCATCAAACAGCTGACAATGATTTTCTTTTATCCCAGGACCGAGATCGTGCACGACAATTTTGCCGCCCAAAGAAGCAAGGCACCCCAGAAAAGCTCATTACTTTGTCATATCAATTTTTGTCAGTTAAAATCTGTGTATCCACGAAATTACTCTTCTTTTTCCATACAGCATTGTTCAAAGGACGTTGTGGAAACCTGAACCATGAACATTACACTTTGTTCCGAAAGCCATTTCGACCCAAATCGTGAAATGAATATATATACAAGAAAACTTTAGCAGAAGAAATTGCAGCAAAGAGGACATGAGGCCGACCATCACCATGGTTCACGACACCCGGTCACGCATCCGATGAAGACATTCGTACTATTGAAGTATGGAAAAGGAGAAATTTTGTTCGATCTACAGGCCATGTTAGGCAATACCCTGTTTTTCTTTTTAGCTGGAAGTGAAAAAGTTCATTCCAAACCAAACCAAACCAAACCAAACACACAAAACCAGTTTTCCGGGTCGATGGGCACACAGTCACGGAATGCGAGAAAACTCTGAAACGCTGTTGCTCAAGCATAAGAAACAGACTGTGGAGAGTTGATCAACTCACAAGCTTTCCAGATTCAAGCGCGTCGGAGAGTATGATCTTGAAGAAGCGGCGGCGGCCCACAATTCGAGGACCGGTCGCGACCTCCGGCTCGACAGCTCCATCTTCTCGGCGGCGGCGGCGGCGGCGGCGACTGCAAGCCATAGAGAGCAGTGTCCCCTGACTACTTACAGCAGAAGAAGAAGAAGAAGAAGAAGAAGATGGTTTGGGGGGTTTCAACTTCAACTACACGAGCGCGGAGCCTCTGTTCTTCAGCGTCACTGAAGGGGAGTGGAAAAACGAGCCACGACCGGTCGGATGGAAAAGTACTGGGCGCTTGATTCCATTCATAAATTGACACGTGTACACGACACTCGTTTTGGTGCAAATTTTTTTTTATTAAATCATTCAAATGTCACTTTTTAAAAAAATTTTTTTTACTTTAGTGTCAATTCTGATTTGAATTATATTTTATCAATTTTCCTGATCGATATGGCTTGCCGGGCGAATGATCCCGTTTACATCTTTGCCCAATTATAAACTCTAATTTTGATTTGTCCACATTAGGGTTTTTATCCATGTTCAACATCAATTTTGTTTATTTTGTTTATTTTTAAATTTGCAGGCAATCAAAGAAAAAGAAAAAACCCATCTATCGGTGGCCGCGTTGGTTTGCGCTCAATTCCTTTCACGAGAGGTCCTGGGTTCAAACTCGCCCAGTCGGTGATTTAAGTGGGGGTCGTAGCGGTTGGGATCTTTGCGCTAGCCCCTTGAGGACCAGTCCGGGCATAAATATTGGTTTAGCCCACTGAAGCTCGCCGGCCGCGCGGACATCTCGATTATCAAAAAAAAAAAATGAAAAGGTGGAAAATGATAAGGTGCCGATGAAGATGAGGAACGTAACGAAGGCCGTCGCCTCAGTCGAAGCCGGATATGGGGCTCAGCGACCTCTCGCATAGGGGGGGCTCACCCAATTTCACCCCATCGATTCTCGACTCCATGGCCATGAAAAGCTCCATCTTCTGATAACGAGGAACGCGATTCTTGTCCATCTCCAAATTTGTAGCTAGCCATGGTGACATTGGTTCGACAAGATCTTCCTTGCAAAACTCGATTTCCCCTTCCGGAGGAAAAGAACCAAGACGAAACAGAAAGTAGAAGACACGGTTTCGTCCGCTTTGGACATGGCTCAATGTGCTTGCACGGCTTTAAGACGCGTCGTGATAGTTTAAGGTTGAGCTCAACCCCCGAAACCCAACAGCTGCTTAGTAGGATCTTTAGGTTTCCGATTCCAAAAACATATTTTGAAATTGACCATGTATTGGGCAGTTCATTTATTCACGTCGCTAATATCGACTTATGTGTAAAATGATTTCTAACGATAGAGAGTATTTAATTCATTCGCCGGTGTTATATAAGTACATACGCATATGTTTTTGATAAAGTAAAGACTAAGGTGAGACAAAGCTTATATAGAAAAGGTATTCACGTCGAAATGGATATAGAGATCAACACATCGCGTCAGTTTCAAAATAGTATTTGATTCCGTATCATTTTGAAGTTTGAATCAATAGGTTTTCTATTTCGAAATCATTTATAGAAATTGATTTATTATTGCAACGTCCGTTATCAAAATATTACCGACCAATTTCTTTATTCGCATCAATAATATTAACCGATGTGTGAAGTTTCTGACAATAAAGCATATTTTAGTTCATTAGGCGGTGTTATATAAGAACATATATGGATCGACATGGAATCAGCCTGTCGGTTTCAAAAGGGTAATATGCTCAATACTATCTTTTTAAGCATGTATATGATAAGGTACTTTGATGTAGAGTTCTCCTATTGCACTAGAAAAACCAGTCTCGGTACATCTTCAACTTTGTCTAAAGGGGAATATGATATGGAGGGTCTGTCCTTGGTCAAATGCCAACTCATTATAAGTGGCGTCGAGATCTAGAACTCGCACATTTAGAGAAAGGGAACTTTTGGAAAGAGATCGTTGTCATGCGCAGCCTAAGTGGCGTCGAGATCTAGAACTCGCACATTTAGAGAAAGGGAACTTTTGGAAAGAGATGGTAGTATCTGTTAGCCAATTTAATATCTGGTTTGCAGCTTGACAACAAGCTGAAGTCATGCCTCACGTAATCCTTGGCATCTCATCTTCATCTTCCTCTCCTCGTGCATAATCCTGTGAACTCATCGGTCAACTTTCTTCCTTCCGTCATCGCTTGCATTTTTCGACGGTTTATGCTCTTGAATTCAGATCAGTTGACGGTAGTTCCACTGGCTGCTTACCGGCTTTTGCGCGAAAGAGGGTGTTGTGTTGGAACATAATATAATAACCGTTTCGTTCTTTCTTTAAACATTCCAACGAGTTTGTAGCTAGAGTGATAAAAAGAAATCGTCGAACGATATTTGTTGTTGATCTCCACAAGTGTCCTTAACTCATTTGCCTTTTAGGAGCCGAGCCATCGATGGAGCGAAAGTATGTCTAAAGTTGCTGCAATTATATAGGGTTGGAACTCTAAGAGAATCAAAGCGCAACGTTCCTTGAAGACCTTTGTTCCATAGTCGCCTCAACTTTGGTAGATTAGGAATTACGAGAAGGGCAAAACATAGCGTGCTTCAAGGGGCTGCAAACGCAATCGCATGAGCTTTCAAACGAAGCATACATCGTGGTGCCTCCTGCCAGGAAGCTTAAAAGCAATGAGCACGAATCATGACTTGATTTACACGGAGCGAGACTCATTGAAGATGATTTGGACAATCTCCTGACCCTTGTAGCGGGATTGATACCGACCCCTGTCAATCATAATTTGTCCTAACGGGTTCGCCCCATCACAAGATTAGGTCCATTTTTAATCGTATTCCAAAACTATAAGGTGATCATAACCAAAGGGAAATACTCCGTGAACTTACATCAGAGCATGATATTTTTACACTTATCTAGACTGGTCAGGTGGCTCTGCAGCACCTTCAAGACTCACCAAATTTGAGAGAGACTTTCCGTGCAAGGTAGTCAGAGAATTGACTCCAGCACAAAAAGAAGAAAGAAGAAAACAAAAGGAGAAAAGATTGCTTTTCATTGATTCTCCGCTGCGCTGCTTGATAAAAGGAGGCATTATTAGGACTCCTGAGTTCATATTGACGCTGAAATGGCCTAAGGTAATGCTTCTAATGTTCATCTCAATCAATGTGAATCGGGTCATTATCAGCATCGCTCATAATGGAGACTTTGAACACAGTATCATCCCTATCGATGAGCTCAAACACGCAGACATTTCCTGCACGCAGATGAGTTTCTCTTACGAATTCACGCCAACCAGTAGAGAAGAACATACACGGAGTCCCTCTGGCCCGTCCATGGCTCCTAATGAGCTTTACTGGCCACGATCCATCCGAATACCAAAGAGTTGCTATTTGTCTGTTTTTCTGAAGATGTTGCTTGGCAAATCCAACCGGAACACCCTGGACATGTTCATGTTTTGAATATCCAATACATGAAAACTGTTGAATTAAACATGAGATGTGTGAATGATGATTTAAGCTCAAGACTCACCAGGCAACTCTTATAAGATCGCGGGATCACCAGTTTGAAAAAGGGATGCTCCGTTTCAATATTGCTCGCTAATTTGGGAGATATGAGAGACCTTGGAAGGGTAGGACCATGAAAATCCAGCTCAGAACGACTCGCTCTGCACGTAGACTGTTCTGTCCCACCTGTAGTGAAACAATGAGCATTTTAATAGACATTGGTGTGAAGGTCTCTTCAATTGACTTGCTATGAAAAGATCTCACATATATTGGAAATTACTGTTAGCATCATGGGGTGACGCGGAAGCCTCACAAGATGTTCTTCATATCAGAACAAACTAACAAAGTACAAGTTGCACCAACATGCAAAATGACTTGCATAAAATCTTCAAGAATTTGAAAAGAGATGACAAAAAGAATGTGATGTAAGTAGAAATTGACCTTGTAAAACCGCAGGTTGTTTAAGGAAAGTGTAATTGATATTATTACACTTTGTTAGTTCTATAGGTCGGGTTGAACCACAATAAATCGCAAAGAAGCGCCAAATTTGAGAGTTTCTTTCCAAAATGGAAATTACATAATTGAGACTAGCGCAGAAGAAGAAAGCAGAAACATAAAAGAGTCTACTATACATTGCAGAAATATAAAAGAGTCTACTATACATTGATTCTCAAATGCTGAATAAAAGAGGCATAATTAGGAATCCTGAACTCATATCAATGCTGCAGATGGCTTAGACTAGCACTTCGGATTGTTCGTCTCAATCGATGTGAATCAGCTCCTTACCGGCACTACTGAAATTGGAAACTTGGAACATAACATCATCCCTATTAATGAGCTCAAACGCACAGATATCTCCCACACGCATATGAGTTTCTCTTGCAAATGCAGGCCAGCCAGTAGAGAAGAACACCCGGGTGTCATGGGTATAGCTTAAGAGCTGTTTTGCTTTTCTGGTCTGGGTATAGCTTAAGAGCTTTTTTGTTTTTCTGGTCTGAGTATAGCTTAAGAGCTTCACTGGCCACGATTTGCCTGAAAACCTAAGAGTCGCCGTTACCTTGTTTTCCTGAATATGTTGCTTGATGAATGCACCTGGAATACTCTGCACACGTACCAGTTTGAACAACCCAGATATGAAATTGTGTAAGTGGAATGAGAAATCCACGGATAAATTGGAGGGAAAAAAGCAAGAAGGTAACGATTTGAGGTCGAAGAAATCCATGGATGTATTTATTCTTTTGAAAGTGCTCAAGGATGAAAGAAATCGCCAGCTAGCATCCTTTATTAATACGTGTTATTAATGAGTATGGTTGCGTTAATCTATTGTATTGTATCATAAGCTCTATAACATAGAAAAAATCTCCAAGACATCAACAGCTAATGTGATCATGGCATTGTTGGTAATAGCTATCATAATGGAACTCTAGGTATACTGGTGATGAATTAAGCTCAAGACTTACCAGGCAACTCTTATAAGATCGCGGGATCACCATTTTGAAAAAGGGATGTTCCGAATCAAATTTGCGGGCTAATTCGGGAGGAGTGAGAGGCCTTGGAAGTGTAGGACCATGAAAAACCAGCTCCGAATGGCTCACTCTGCATGTAGACTGTTGGATCCTATCAGTCGAGTCCACTGGAGCTTGAGATAGATCTGGTTCTTCGGGGTCAGTATCAATACAAGCTACATATCGAGGAGACAAATTTCCATTTAGTTCCAAAACTGGTAGGGATAGGGATCAATCGATTCAATCGACCTACTTCCCATTACTGCAAATAGGAATAGTAAAGTTACTCTGTTCCACAGTGGGCGACTTTTTAAATCTATTTCACTTGATACCATATCATCTTGGCGGCATGGCCGAGTGGTAAGGCAGGGGAGTAGATATCCTTTTTCCCCAGCTATACAATGAGGAATTTAATAGACATTGGTGTGAAAATTTCTATAATTGGCTAACTATGAAAAGATTTAGTATAGATTGAAATTGCCTTGTCATGCATATCAAGATTCAGGTAATTTGACAAAATAAATTCTAAATACTCTTCACACAAAAAGAAACTAATAAACTTCAATTTGCGCCCATAAGCAAATAAACTTCCTATTAAGTCTTCATGTTTTCGAAAAGATAAATGAAAAGAATTGATGAATGTTCACATTGAGCTTGTAAAACCATGGGTTGTGCCTCGAAATTCAGAGTTGGTATATGGGTTAAGGCAAGTCGGTATAAATGAAAGGTCAGGTTGGAGCCACCAGAAACCTTAAAGAAGTGCCCAATTTTTAGAGATTCTTTCCAAAAGGGGACATATAGAATAGACATTAGAAGACGATAGAAAAGGAAAAAAAGAGCATACTTTTCATTGACTCGCCACTACCAAATGAGGAAGGCATAATTTGGAATCCTGAATTCATATGGACGCTGTGAATGGCCTAGAGTAACACTTCTGATGTTAATCTCAATAAATGTGAATCTGGTCCGTACCAGCATTACGGAAGATGGAGACTTTGAACACAAAATCGTCCCTATGAATGAGCTCAAACATGCAGACATCTCCTACACGCAGACAGTTATCTCTTGCAAATGCAGGCCAACCACCGGAGAAGAATGCCTTGTGGTCCTGCTTAGACAGTAAAAGCTTCACCGGCCACGATCTGTCTAAATACCTAAGCGTCACCATATCCATGCTTTCTTGAATATGTTTCCTGGTGAATCCAACGGGAACATTCTGCACATATGTACATGTTTGTACAAACAAATGTATGCTAAAACAAGGACCATATTATCAGCATACACTCATGAGAAAAAAGCACACTGATAGATATTCATGGAAATATTTGCTAGTTTCAGGAATTTTAGTCCACAGCCTTAAGAGGCTCACGAAATTGAACAATCTAAACCTCCCATGTAAAGCATCATCAATTTTAACCTGCAATCCAAAGAATTCTCCAACAAGTGACTGTCCATCAACAGACAGTTTTCCATTCAAGTAAATTGGTCATCCTTTCACTTGGATAGTGATTAGAGCAGCTTATAGAGAATATTCAAGTGAATGGACAGTCCTTATATTTTAACCTTCTTTTTGCCTGGTTCCCATTACTCTATCATAGGTACCCCACAAACACTCCAAGAAGTAACATATCATATGTATCTGTTACAAACCAAAGCAACTTGGGAATACACAATACTTAGGCAAGATTTGGGAAGCAATCATAGTTAAACTTGAGATATGCCAGTGGTGGATGAAACTCGAGAATTACCATTTTTTTAGCCTGATGTCCAGGTATCACCAGTTTGAAGAAAGGATGCTCTGAATCAAACTCATTGGCAAATTCAGGAGTAGTGAGAGTCCTCAAAGGTGTAGGACCACGAAAAACTGGCTCAGAAAGGCTTGCTGTGCATATTGACTGTTTGTTCCCACCTTTGGATAAAGAAGAGAAATTAACTAGTGATTGGTGTGAATGTTTCTTTAACTTACTATGAAAAGGTTTAGCAGAGAATATAACTAATATTATCAGAAAAACCGAAATTCAGACAATTTCACTGAATCAATTGTAAATGCCCTTCACAACAGATAGAAAAAAATCAACTAGAATTAGCAGCACCTAAATCATTAGGTTACCTTAGTCAAACGTTTTCAAGTAGATTTTATAAGAACAAATAAGAAAAAATGTACCAGTAGGTGAAGCAGCACAACTTATAAAGGAGGCGTAGTTGTAAATCCAGATCTCAATCTAAAACCAGAGTAAAGTGACACTGCGAGTGTGCATTTCAAACAAGGTTATCAAGTTCTTACCAGCACCATTGAAAATGTAAACTCTGAACACAATATCATCTCCATCAATTAGCTCGAACATGCAGACATTCCCTAAGCGCAAACAAGCTTCTCTCATAAATGCGAACCAACCAGAAGCGAACCGTGCCCCACGATGTCCACAGCTACTAAGCTTCACTGGCCATGCCCTGCCTGAATGCATGAGCGTTGCGATTTCCTTGATTTTCCGAATGTGCTGCATGATAAATCTACGGGGAACATACTGCATGACAAAGAAAGACCACAATATAAGCATACGCTTATACTGCAAGCACAAAAAATGTAGATTGATTGCAGTATTTTCTTCTTTTTAGGACTTATAATCAACAGTCTTAACAGGATAAAAGTCCAAACGTCAGTTTCTGCTCCTAGAACTAACGTTGGGTAGAGCATCTTCTTCCTTTAAGCAGATACGCACGAACAGTTCTCAGGAACATAACGTCATGCTATTTCTGACCGAAACCCAATCAGCTTAGGAAAACACTAGCATATAACAAAGATGTAGAGAGCATTGTGTTTGAATTGGAGATGTGCCGCTTAATACTGATGAATTTAGTTTTCTGATCTTACCAGTATATGATGCTTAAGGTAAGATGGCCGCATCATCACCGTGAAAAAAGGATACTCTGATTTAAATTCGCTGGTCAATTCAAAACCAGAGAGAGGCCCTATACGTGTAGGACCACCAAAAACCGGCTCAGAACGATTCACTTGGCATCTAAACTGTCTGATCCCATCTGTAAATTTACAAACAACGAGAACTTTAAATGACGCTGGTTTGTAAATTTCATTAGGTAATTGATTGATTCACTTAGAAAAGATTAAGCGCAGTGTAGAAGTTAATGCTGTCCCGGAGATCAGAATTTGAATTAGTTGACCAAATAAATTTTGCATCCCTCTTCACCTTAGTTGTCGTAATTAATTACCTACAACTTGTAAATTCCAAACACATCATGTTGTCAGTCAACATAAAGTATTATTAAAAAGTTTACAAGTATTTTTGGAAAAAATTGTAACAAAAGAGAGTGATGTAAGAAGAAAGGCGACATATCAAATGAAGAGTCACACCTTCGGACCCTCGTGGTGAGTAGATTGGACTTAGCTGAGAATAAGGTAAATGTGGTTCGGTCCTCATTCTTCGATGGGGTGCGAGATCCTCCGGATCTTCTCCTTCTACAACATCTTCTGTTTTTGGTGAGGAAAATTTGCTCCCAAGGTATGATGTTTCGCCGCAGCTCAATGAATAATCTATCTCTGAAGCACTCTTATTGAATATTATTACGCAAAAAGTGGAGTTCCCTTTATATTTGAAAACTATGAGGTGACCATGACCAATGGAATAATACTCCATGAATTCCCGCCAACCTTTCCACAGCAAAACCGTGTCATTGTTCCGCTTTTCTAGTTCTATAGTCCAGGTTGAACCGCCAGGAACCCGGAGAACCACCGAGTTTGAGAGATCCTTTCCACATCTTCTCAAGAAACTTTTTGGAATTCCCTATTATGAAAAGATTGAAGTAAATGGTCCATCATAAAAACTCATCATAGTCAAACCGAAGTGCAGACAAATAGGAAGAAAACTAAGAAGTTTTCATTTCTGTGACATGGAGGAAAGATCAGTTTCCACAAGCGTGCAGCAGTATAAGCGTGGGCAGAATTTTAGTAATAGTGACTTCTTTTGGCAAGAGTAAAACTAGAGAATCCAAAAAATCTTCTTAGTAATGTTCAAAGGATGTTGTGGAAACCTGAACCATGCACAGTATACTACATTCTGAAAGCCATTTCGACCCATCTCATAAAATAATTAGAAGAAGAAAAGGCAGCGAAAAGGACATGAGAAAGACCATCAGGATGGTTCAGGACAATCGGTCACGCATCCGAGGAAGATATTCATGTTGTTGAAGTATGAAGAAGGAAAAATATAGTTTGATTTACAGGCCATGCAGACAATACCCTGTTGTTAATATATTTTTCTTTTGCCTTTAGCTGGAAGTAAAAAGTTCATTCGAAACAAAACACTGAAACCAGTCGTCCAGGTTGACGGGTACACAGCACGAGTGCGAGAGACTCTTAACAATGATGCTGAATCGGGTGAAACAGACTCTGAAAATTTGCTCAACTCACAAGCTTTCCAGATTCAAGGGTGTTGGAGAGTATGATCTTGAAGAAGCGACGGCTCCCAAGACGAGGACCGGTCGCGATCTCCGGCTCGACAGCGCCATCTTCTTTCCGGCGACGATGACTATAAGCCATAGACAGTAGCGTCCCTGACTACATACAGAAGAAGAAGAAGGTGGTTTGGGAGTTTCAAATTCAACTGCATGACCGTGGAGCCTTTGTTCTTGAGGCCATCATCCTGTTAAAATTGGATGGCTCGGTGACCTAGGCAAAGATTCCTGATAAGTGTTAATCAGACAACAGCCTCTCATAACGTTGGAAGCAAATGTCAGTGGGTCTCCGACCCCAAGAAAAATGTCAGTGGGTCACGGAAGGGAAGTGAAAAAAGTAGCACCGAGAATCAGTTTACCTAAATGGCCACTATTCGTTATGAGACGCCTCCGAGAATGGAGTTTTTGGAGTTTTATAGAAACTCGTTTTTGTAAAACAATAAAGGAAGCGATGAGTGTTACGAGTGACTAAAATGTTGTGAAAACAAACGATTGAATAATAAAAATAAAAATAAAAATTATGACACCAGATTTATGTGATTCGATCGGGATTACTTACGTCCACGGAAAATGTAGTAAAGAATTTCACTATAAATCAAGTAATACAACATACATTATAACTACACTCAAATTATTCAAATACTCTCGGTATTTTCCAACCTCCAATTACTTATAATAACTCACACAACATTTAGACCCGTAATTATTTACGAAATAATCTCTTAATCTCATAAAGGAATTATACAAAATCTTAGCATGAGATTTCACAGCTTCAAAACACTCGGATATAATTCACGAGCATATGAACTTCACTATTACTCTTCACAACCCCTCATGAATTCAACCTCCACAGACATCTTTCAAGTGCAAGCCTCGCTCGAACTTCGCCAGTACTATGAACCTCATCTCACCAACCCACTAGCACCTTTAACTACTCCACAAGAATTTTCTAACACAACCACCTCAACCACAAATGAACCTGCTGTAATATTAATTAACCCAAAAGCTAACTTGGATCTTACAAATAAACCCAACGTGAAAATCACGAAAGAAATAACGAGAAACAATAAGGACACTCAAGATATATGTGATTTGGTCCGACGTATCGGTACCTACATCTACAAGAGAGCTAGCACCATATAATTCACTAATAATCAGAAAATTTGAAGTTTACTATCGCTCATAACGCTCAAATATTTTTTACGCCTAGATTAAACTCAAATCCCAAATATTTACAAATAAACAAACCATTTGATAAAAGAAACTCACGGCACAATCCACCTGTCCGATGCTCTCTTATTGTGCGGCTCCTGTTCTTTCTGAGAGCTACTGTGCGGCCATTTTCACACGCAAAGGAACCCACTCATTCTACCCTTGTGCGGCTCCTCAGAGAGAGCTACTGTGCTCTCCTTTGAAAAACCCACGCCCTTCACTGTTTTGGCTCTTCTTCAAGATACCATTGATAAAAGAATGGGCGGCCACACTTGATGAGAAAGAGACAACCTAGGGCTAGTGCTAGAACCCAAAAAAAAAAACCTATTTTATCTCATCATTTTGTTTTTCTTTTCTTCTCGGCCCCACTAGCTTCTTTATGTAAACCCGCAAATGACAAGAAAATAAGTCCACTTATTTGACCATGTAATAAATATAATAAAACAAGTGTGCCCCTCTCTTTTATCTTTTAGTAAATGAGAGTTGTGCCATCATCTTTGTATGTATTCAACCGAGTCAGTTTTCGTGACCGCTCAAACTCGAGACATGACATAATAATTATCCACATTGACTCGACGTTAGAAGTCAAGTCAGAATGCTCATCATTCATATTGCTCTTCCAATCTTTCAAAGAGTGCTCACTCTCCACGTACGTCAATTGAGCTCAAGAAGTGCTTCGCCAAAGAAACATGCTTCGTTATCATATCTGCCGAATTCTCCGTTGTCGTTATCTTCTTCACAACAACATTATCCCTTGTTAAGACATCTCGAATGAAGTGGTATTTGATGTCGATATACTTTGTTCACTCGTGATAAATCATATTGTATGCTAGATGTATCGTACTTTGGTTATCACAGTATATATCAGCACTTTTCTGTTCCAACCTAAAGTTCGAGAGCAAACTCCGTAGCCATATCGCCTCTTTCGCTATAAAGGTTAGTACCATGTACTCTGCTTTAGTCAAAGATAAGGTAACGTGATCCTGTAAGGACGCTTTCCAACTAACCGTACCACCTGCAAGCGTAAATAAGTACTCTGCTAAAGACTTACACTCATCCAAGTCACTGGCGTGATCCGAATCCACATAATCAGTGGTCTCGCTGCCACTGTTGTCCCTTCGGTACACTATACCAACGTCTGTTGTCCCCTTCAAATATCTGAGAATCCTCTTCACAACTTCTCAATGACTTTTATCAAGCTGCTTTATATAATGGCTAACTACACTTACAGCTTGTGAAATGTCAGGCCTAGTGCATACCATATCATACATAATACTACCCATTGCACTACGATAATGAACATGAGACATATGCTTCTCCTCATCCTTACTCTGCATCGATAACTAATTTGAAAGTTTAAAGTGCTTCACTAATGATGTACTCATTGATTTTGTCGACTGCATATTAAAACGTGTCACAATCTTCTCAATATATTTCTTTTGAGATAGACATAAAATTCCCACACACCTATCACACAAAATCTCTATCTCTAATATTTTCTTTGCAGTACCTAAATTTTTCATCTCAAACTCAGAACTCAACTGCCTTTTCAGCACATCAATATCAGACATATTCTTAGCCGCTATCAACATGTCATCAACATATGATAATAGATAAATCAAAGACCCATCCTCCAATCTCCTAAAATAAGCACAGCTATCCATATGACTTTTTGAATAGTAAGCATTAAAATGCTTATACCACTGCCTAGGAAACTGTTTCAGTCCATACAAAGACTTCTTTAACAAGCAAACATGATCTTCCTTATCCGGAATAGCAAATCCCTCAAGCTGCCTCATGTAAATCCGCTCCTCCAACTCACCATGAAGAAACGCCGTTTTCACATTTAGCTGCTCCAACTCAAGATCATGTACAGCAACTAAGGTAAGTAATACACGAATAGAAGTATGTCTTACCACATGAGAGAACACCTTAATGTAGTCAATGCCCTCCCACTGTGTACTATTTTGTCATAAGTCTCACCTTATATCTCGCTGTCTCGACACTAAGAATGCCCTCTTTTCATTTATAGACCCATTTGCTTCTAACAATCTTTTAGCTCTTAGGTACTTTGACCAGTTCTCATGTCTGATTTTCGATGGAGTGATTCCATCTTTTCACTCATGGCGCCCAGCCATTATGACGACTCACTACTAGCTATTACCTCAGAGTAAGACAAAGGCTCATCTATCTCCACCTCGTCACCTACAGTCAGCAATATCAGTATAACTATAACACACTGGTGATTTAATTTTCCTTCTCTATCTTCTCACGGCTATAGTGTGCTGCAGTTGTCCTAGTTGTTCACTATCGCCCACTTCAGGAACTGTGGCCTCATCAACAGTATCAACCTTTGTTACCTCTGAAGTCTCCGAAGACTCCACCTGAAGCTCCATCTCGCTACTGACACCATGATCTAACTGCTCTGCTGGTAGTGTCTTAGAACTCCTTTGTTGAAGCATTGTAGTCTCGTCAAAGATCACATCTTAACTGATTAGAAAATCGGGTGATCTGGGATCAGTGCGCCACAGCCGGTAGCTTTACACCCCATGTGCATAACCTAGAAATATGCACTTCTTCACCCTCGGCTCAAGCTTACCATCACTCACATGAGCATACGCATGACATCTGAATACTTATAATTCGGAATAATCGACATGTTTCCCCAATCATATTTCCTCACGAGTCTTCCACTTAATAATAAATGATGAAGATCAATTAATCAGGTAACATGTCATATTCACTGTTTCGGCCTTTCACTGTTTTGGCTCTTCTTCAAGACACCATGGATAAAAGAATGGGCGCGGCCACACTTGATGATGAAGAGACAACCTAGGGCTAGGTCTAGAACCCAAAAAGAAAACCCATTTTATCTTATCATTTTGTTTTTCTTTTCTTTTTGGTCCCAGTAGCTTCCTTCTGTACGCCCACAAATGAGAAGCAAATAAGTCCACTTATTTGACCATATAATAAATATAATAAAACAAGTGTCCCCCTCTCTTTTGTCTTTTAGTGAGTGAGAGTTGTGCCCATCATCTTTGTATTTATCCAATTGAATTGAATTCCGTAACAGCTCAATCTCGATATATAACATAATAATATTTGTTAGGAGATCGAATATGCACCTTGTTATACTTATCAGCTACAATAACCGTCAGCTCTATAAGCTTCACCTCTCTACAAGTATCATCTATGTCGATTATTACGCTATTACTCGCTACCTTAGGAGTTTCTAGTTATAACTCCACATTGAGCTGAACACAGTTTAAATCCGTATAAACATTGTCGCAGTCACTCTTACCCAGAAATATTACAAACTCGTCAAATGTAACTTATCTACTAACAATAGGTAAATTTAATTTTCGGCACCACAATCGATAGCCCTATTCACCTTATACATAGCCCAGTAATATGCACTTTCTTGCTCTCCCATCGAGCTTACCATCGCTTACTCAAACATAACACGGGTAACCAAATATTCTAATACAAAAATAATCGATAACGTACCCTCACTATACTTTTTCCGGAGTCCGAAATATAATTGCAGTCGATGGAGATCTATTCACTAGGTAGATCGTCATACTTCACGCATCTGCTAGGAATCTTCTACCATACTAGGCACTAGAGAGTATTTTATGAACTGTCTCTAGTAATGTTCTGTTTATCAACTCAACAACCTGTTGTAGTTCATTAGCACTAATGCGGTGCCTCACTAGGCCTTCTTTTATATAGAATTCGTTTATCTGCTCCGAGCAGAACTCCATGCTGCTGTTAGTCTACACATGCTTAATCATCTTACCAGTCTCCTTTTTTATCAAAACTCTTAACTACCTGATCTTCACAACAACATCAAACTTGTGCCTCAAGACAAACACCCATGTCTTTCTCAAGTAGTCATTCACAATTATTAGCATAAATCTAGCACTCTTCTTCGAAAAAAACCGTGACAACCTATGAACATTCAAGCGAACCAACTTTGCAATATCCGCAATTTCTCTGACATTCATATTGATTTCTACCGTTTGACTAAGTCATAACACTTGCATACATTTAATTCTTTAGTAACATAACCAAATAGATTCCTTTCACTCAAAACCTTCAGGCTTCTCCCGCTAATTTACTCCAAACAGATATGCCACAATTCAGACTCTCGAATAGATGCATCGACGTCTCTGTGGAAAAATCTGTTACCGTCTCGCTTAAGGGTTGTCGGTTTCAAGTTGGGCTAATGTTCTCGATCCAGAAGGGTCGGTTCTTAGTTTGTGAAACTGAGAACCGGCCTACCTGGTCCTGGAATCGGATAAGACCCACTCCGGTTCGGTCCCAAGTGGGTCCTAGAATCGGCATTCAAGAACTACATGAAAAGGGGATCGAAACTAATTATTGAAACCGAGAGTGATGGCCGAAGGCGAGGTTACGACTGCAAGGGAGGGTCGGAACAAGGCCGTGACTGCGAGGGAGATTCCAAGGCAAGGTCACAAGCAACAACAAGGGAGGGCTGGAGACGCCTGGTGAGGCCACAACTACGAGGGAGGGCCAAAGGAAGAGCAGAGATCGAGGCGACTGAGAGAGCCTACTGGAAGTGAGACCGTGACTTGCAAGCCCGTAAGTGATTGTGGTGAGGCGACCGAGAGAGAGCAGAGAACGAGGTTAGCCGGTGACCCTGTCGACCCTCAATCCAAAAAAAGAAAAGAAAAGAAAAGAAAATATAAAATTTCAAAATATCATTAAAATATTGTGATAAAATACCCATGTTAGAGTCGGCCATGCCCCGTAGGACGGCCAATGTTTACGTTTGTGATTTTTAGCCAAAATTGGCCAGATGGTCTCAATTGGCGAAACGTGAAAAATGATTAGGACTAAATTGACACAATTAAAAAGTACATGACTGAATTGACAGCAATAGGTTTAGGCCTTTTTTGGTAATTTCCCCGTCTCATGCATTGCATATAGTTTAGTTTTCATGAAAAGAAAAATCCAAAAAGAACTAATAGACGTTGCATTTAGAAATCATGCTTCGGGGATGGATGCATTGTTTGGTCTTTAGTTAATATTTTGCTGAACAAATGGTGCATTGGATGATAATAAAGGTTCGCTTTTGCTTTGCGTAAGGCATCAAGGTTCTTTACCATTTTCTAGCCATTTATTTCTTTGATTTATTGAGTGCTAAATTACTATCTACGGACTCGCATTATCACCCACCACATATTAGTGGTTTAGGATTAAAATTGATCAAGATTATTTGCAAAACAATTTTGGAATAAAAAGAAAATGTACCGAAAATGTGTTAGATTTATTTAGCATAATCAAGTCTCCGTATTCATGAAATTTCTAATTCGCAGAAGTAAGGTTTCTAATCGAACCGCAATAGATTAGTGATACTCTAAAATAAATTGATTTGCATGTTTAATTGATTAGATTAAAACCCTAAAGTTGCAATTGGTACGGGCTTGAAAGAGTCTGTACTAAGCGTTAATCCATTAGCTTTCCCTCGGTGTTCACCTCTTGGAAGGTCATGATAAGAGTTGCAGAAGAATACGTCAGACACAGAAGAACTCTCATATTCTCATATTCATCATCTCTCTCAGTCACTAAAACCTGAGAACACATCTGAGCACATACACGTATTTAGAGAGAAATTTTGAGGAGAGCATGGGCAGCTTGGGGTGCAAATGATAAAATTTCTCTTCCTTAGCCTTATTTCTGTCAAAATTTATTTCTATTCCCCGGACGAGTTTATGAGTAAAAAGTAGTATTTTATAACGACACAAAATTTATGTTCCTAGAATATAAATTCGTTTGATAAGTTATTCTTAAATTTTTGTTCCCAGCGGCCTGTTAGCACGGCAGGCGGAGGCGGATGGACATTGGTGGACTGTGAACAGCGGTAGTAGGCGTCAGTGGACGGTGGGCGAGCGGGCGGGTGGAAGCGGGTGGGGGAAGTGGATTGCCGGTGGGTTGAGGGGGCAGTGGCGGTCGTGGTAGACGGCTAGCGGCGGGCAGTGGCGAACGGTGGGTGGGCGGAAGCGGATCACCGACGGGCAGAGGCGGTGGTAGGCAGTGAGGATGAGCAATAAAAGAGAGCCGTTATTTTTGTTTCTGCTCCAAAAATTAAAAAGTAGAAAGTTTTAAATTCTCATTTCTTATCTAAACCTATTTATGGGCTAAAAATTTGTCCTGGAAATAAAAAATGAAATTATTTTACCAAACGGATTTCTATTCCAAACTTACTTCGGGAACAAAAAAATAGAAAAATATGAAAATATAATGATTATCGTTTGTGCCCTTGTTCTCTTTCATGGATTCAAGAAGAGCGAACCTCAAGCTATCGAGGAAACTTTCCATCATTTGCTCCTCCTAGGTACGAGAATGATTGATTTTCCACAGTACTCCGATCATGTCATATAATTTCGTTTTGATCTAATGTCATGTCTTCCTAGTACGTCAACAACTAAAACCAAAGCCAGCATACCTATCCTTGGTTTCTATTTTCGATTTATAGTTTGTTGCGCGCATGATAACCATTCTGTTTTTCTATTTTTCTATTTTCAGTAAAAGGTTTGGAATAGAAATCCGTTTTGTAACGCAATTTCATTTTTCTATTTTTGGAACAAATTTCTACGCCAGAAATAGATTTTGCTAGAGTAATTAAATATTAAACTACGCCTTCATCTAACAGCTTAAGCTTTTAGAACAGTTGATTGTGGTCCTACAAAATCTCACATGGTATCAGAGCTGGAAATTCTAAGTTCAAATCTTTGCAGGTCTCATTTGCCTCCCCAATTAAATATGTCAACGCTTAGTATTAGGCAATAAGACCAGACTAAGCGTGAGGGGGAGTGTTAGAGTAATTAAATATTAAACCACGCATTCATCTAACAGCTTAAGCTTTTAGAATGGTTGACTGTGGTCCTACAAAATCTAACAGATTTGGAACAGAAGTAAAATTTTCTACGTTTCTATTCATGGAACAGAAATGAGAAATAAAATCTCTTCTCATCCCTCGTTCTTGCTACTAGTCGGCCGCCCACCCGTTGTCGCCACTAGTTGCTGCCACCGCCACCGCCTTTCGACGTCGCCCGCCATCTACCGTCCTCTGCTGCTTGATGCCAGTCGCCCCCATCGTCGGCAGCCCATGAGAGAAATTTTATGTCGTTATTAAACGCGTATTTTAGCTTAGAAACTCGTCCATGTAATAGAAATAAAAAAATCTATTTCTTGCAAGAAATTGATTTCTAGAGCAAAATAGTTATCATTCACGCTTTAAGTCATTGGCCAAATAATCAGATTCTTTTGAGCTCATAGTTCTGTGCTAAATTGACTCACCATTAATTTCCTCTTTTGTGTTAACTCCAGTTTCCATTACGGAGTTTAATTCATGCACCTGTCATGATATTGTATATTTAGGGCGCGAATGACAACCATTCTCTTCCCGGGAATAATTTCTGGCCAGAAATAGAAAAATCTATTTATATTCCCTATACGAGTTTCTGAGCAGAAAGTAGCGTTTGATAACGATAAAAAATTTATGTTCCCAGAATAGAAATTCATTTGATAGCATTGATGTAGAATTCGTGCATCGATGGCGGCGGCGGCAGTGGCGGCGAGGGCGAGCAATTAGAAGAATTGTTATTTTTGTTTAGTTCCAGAATTATAAAAGTAGAAAATTTATACTTCTCCTTTTTGTTCCAAAACCTATTTCTGGGCTAAATATTTGTCCCAGAGATAGAAAAATGAATGCGTTATCAAATGGATTTTTGTTCCAAACTTGTTCGAGGGAATAGAAAAATAGAAAAACAGATAAATAAAATGATTATCATTCGAGTCCTTAGCCATCGATTCGCTCTTGCTTGGGTTACATTTACAAATGTACATGTCGTGACCGATCAATGTTGATTCCGCATTGCGTTCAGATTGGTTCTGCTTGAATTTCCAACGCTATGTCATTTCGATTTCTTTATTTTTCTGGAGTGCACTAACTCCGTTCTCGCAGGGAGTTTTGAAGTTGAAAGTCCAAGAGAACTTAGGTTGATTGCTTGTGCAAATCCTTTTAAAATCCGGAGTTGCGTTGCTAGGCTTATTTTGGCATGTAGATCAAGGCATGTTTTGACGTATGGATTATACTGCGTGGTTTCGACACTGACGTGGACTCGACCCAATGGACTCGGTACAAGCAAGAAATTCCGCAACACATCAATTGTTAAGATTTATCGGGTCCATAGCCGACCGAATGCATACAAAATTTTCGCCATCGCCGACCACTCTACGTATCAGGCTTTTGCCTCTTTGTACCACCAAAGCAAAAAGAAACATAGACCATTTACCGCCGGTGTAAGACAAAAAGAGAGATACTCCATGAACTTACGTCAGAGCATGATATCTTTACTCTTTTGTAGATCTACTGGTCAGGTTGAGCACCGTAAAGATGCACCGAATTTGAGAGGTTCTTTCCGAGCATGGTAGTCATGGAATTGAAACCAGCACAAAAAAGGAAGAAAGAAGAAAACACAGCAGAAAAGAGCGCTTTTCATTGATTCGCTGCCGTGCTGCTTAATGAAAGGAGGCATTATTAGGAACCCTGGAATCATGTCGGTGCTGCAATGGCCGGAGGTAATACTTCTGACGTTCATCTCGATGAACGTGAATCGGGTCATGACCAGCACCACTCAAAATGGAGACTTTGAACACAGCATCATCCCTATCGATCAGCTCGAACAAGCAGACGTTTCCTGCAGGCAGATTAGTTTCTCTTGCAAATGCATGCCAACCGGCAGAGAAGGACAGACTCGGAGTACCTCTAGCCTGTTCATGGCTCCTAATGAGCTTCACTGGCCACGATCTGTCTGAATACCGAAGAGTTACCATTTGTTTGTTTTCCAGAAGATGTTGCTCTGCAAATCCAACCGGAACAGCCTGCACATATACATGTTTTGAATAGCCAATGCACGAAAATTGTCAAATGAACATGAGATATTTGAGTGACGATTTAAGCTCTAGATCTTACCAGGCAATTGATATAACTTTGTGGGATCACCAGTTTGAAAAAGGGATGCTCCGAATCAATATCGCTAACTAATTCGGCAGACGTGAGAGGCCTTGATAGTGTAGGACCATAAAAATCCAGCTCAGAACGGCTCGCTCTGCGTGTAGATTTTTCTATCCCACCTGTAATAAAACAATAAGAACTTTAATAAACATTGGTGTGAACGTCTCTTTAATTATTTTTTGGCTGGATGACGTCTCTTTAATTGACTTGCTATGAAAAAATCCAGCATAGATTGGAAATTACTGTTATCATGAAGAGACTAGTGCAGAAAAGAAGAAAACAGAAACATAAAAAAGTCTACTTTTCATTGATTCGCAACTACCGAATAAAAGAGGCATAATTGGGAATGCTGAATTCATAACGATGCAGCGAATGGCTTAAAGTAACACTTCCGATGTTCATCTCAATCAATGTGAATCGGAACCCTTACCGGCAATACTGAAAATGGAGACTTGGAATACAACATCATCCCTATCAATGAGCTCAAACACACAGATGTTTCCCACACACAGATGAGTTTCTCTTGCAAATGCAGGCCAACCAGAAGAGAAGAACAGCCGGTTTTCATGTGAATAACGTAAGAGCTTCACCGGCCACGATCTGTCTGAAAACCTAAGAGTCGCCATTTCCTTGTTTTCTTGAATATGTTGCTTGACAAATTGACCAGGAACGTACTGCACATTCGTACACGTGTGAACAAACCACTGTATGTTAAAAAGGACATCACATAAGCATACACTCGCGTGAAAAAAAAAAAAAGCACATGATGTAGATTCTTGCCGATAACTGCTAGTTCAAGAGTTTTAATCAGCAGCCTTAAGGGGCTTATGAAAGTCATCGATCTTAACCTGCAATGTAAAACATTATTCAAGAGGTGACTGTCTATTTTCAGTTAGTTTACCATTCAAGTGACTGTCCATCCTTTCACTTGGATAGTGAATAGAGCAGCTTGTGGAAAATACCCAAGTAAAGGACAGTCCCAACCCGATTACTGTCTTTACTTATTCATCTTCCTGGTTCCACGTTACTCCATCATTAGGATTCCCCATGGACACTTGAGAAATATAAAATATCATTAAGTTTCCAATACAAACCAAATCAACTTGGGAAAACACGATATCGAGGGATGATTAATAAAAATCGTAATTGAACTTGAGATATGCCATTGTTGGATTAGGCTTGAGATATTACCACTTGACTATGACATTGATGTATCACCACTTTGAAGAAGGGATGCTCTGACTCAAATTCACTGGCTAATTCAGGAGTAGTGAGGGGCTTTGGAGATGTAGGACCACAAAAAACCGGCTCATAATGATTCACTCTGCGTTTAGATAGTTCATTCCTGCGCTGAACTAAAAAAAAGGACTTCAGTGTGAGCGTTTCTTCAATTGATCTTCTATGAAAAGATCTATGCATAGATTGGAAATTGTGATTACCATGAAATGAAACATTCAGACAATTTGACAAAAGTGCTCTTCACATCGGAAGAGACAAAGCAACTAGAATCCTGCCTAGATCATTACGATACCAATCAACACACAAAAGTCCTATAATAGCGTTATGATTATATCTTAAAATAACATAGAAAAGAAAGTGTACTTGTCAGTGATGCAGGACAACCAAACAAGGGTGGCATAATTGTAAACCCAGAATGCAAGTCACGCTATAACCAGCCTAAATTTACACTTCAAGTACTCATTTTCAACAATGTAAATGAAGTCCTCACCACTCAAAATGGAGACTTTGAACACAATATCATCCCTATCAATTAGCTCGAACACGCAGACATTTCCTACGCGCAGATGAGTTTCTCTTGCAAATGCAGGCCAACCAGCAGAAAAAAACAGATGCAGAGCCCCTCTGACAAGTCTGTTGCTCCTGACGAGCCTCACTGACCACGATCTGTTGGCACACCTAAGAGTTGCTCTTTGCTTTTCCTGAATATGCTGCTTGATGAATCCACTTGGAATACTCTGCACATGTACATGTTTGAACAACCAAGACATGAATTTGTTTAAGTGGAATGAGAAATCCCAGGAATGAGTATCGTTGTAGTAATCCATTGGATTATATAATAAACAATATATGGATGGTAAAAAAAAAATCTCATACAAGTGGACATCAACAGCTAATGTGATCATGGCATTGTAGGTAATACCAAATCATAATTGAAGTATACCGGTGATGAGCTCAAGACTTACCAGTTTACTCATATAAGATCGCCGGATCACCTTTTTGAAAAAGGGATGTTCGGAATCAATTTTGCGGGCTAATCCAGGAGTAGTGAGAGGCCTTGGAAGTGCAGGACCATGAAAAACCAGCTCAGAATGGCTCACTCTGCATGTAGGCTGTTTAATTCCATCTGTCAGGCCAGCTTGAGCTTGAGACAAATGTGGTTCTTCAGGGTCAGTATCAATGGGAACTACATACCGAGGAGAACAGGATCCATTTAGTTCTAAAACAGGTAGGGATAGGAATCAATTCAATCGACCTACTTCCCATTACTACAAATAGAAATAGCAAAGCTACTCCGTTCCATAGCAGAGAACTTTCTTTTTCATCTAATGATACCATATCATTTTGGTGGCATTGGATTATAAAAAATTTTGAAGTATTTTTGGAAAAGAACTAACAAAAGAGAGCGATGTAAGAAGAAACGTGACTTCTGAAATGAAGAGTCACACCTTCGGACCCTCGCGGTGAGTAGCTCGAACTTAGCTGAGAATAAGGTAAATTTGGTTCAATCCTCATTCTTCGACGGGGTGTGACGTCCTCCAGATCTTCTGTTTCTATGACATCTTCTGTTTTTGGTGAGGAAAGTTCACTTCCAAGGTATGATGTTTTGCCACTGCTCGATGAATAATCTATCTCTGAAGCACTCTTATTGAATATTATTACGCGAAAAGTGGAGTTCCCTTTATATTTGAAAACTATGAGGTGACCGTGACTAATGGAGAAATGCTCCATAAATTCCCGCCACCCTTTCCACAACAAAACCATGCCATTGTTGCACTTTTCTAGCTCTATAGTCCAGGTTGAACCGCCCGGAACCTTAAGAAGCACCGAGTTTGAGAGATCCTTTCCACATCTTCTCAAGAAACTCTTTGGAATTCCCTATTATGAAAAAAATCAAAGCTTCAAGTCCATGATAATAACTCATCATAGTCAAACCCAAGTGCAGAAAAAAGGAAGAAAACTAAGAAATTAAAAATTCTGCAACATGGATGCAAAATCAGTTTCCACATGTGTGCTCAGAATAATTGTGGATTGAATGTTAGGGAAAGTCTTCATTTGACAAGAGTAAAGCTTGATAATCCAAACTATCATCTACACTATGATCAGTGAAATTTGTCGTGCCAAATCCAACTGTTGACATAAATTTATCTTGATCCTATGGGCAAGACAATTTTGTCATCCAGCAGCTGACAAAGATTTTCTTTTATCCCACGACTGAGATCGCGCACGACAATTTTGCCGCCCAAAGAAGCAAGGCACCCCAGAAAAGCCCATTACTTTGTCATATCCATTTTTGTCAGTTCACTCTGTGTATCCGTGAAATTACTCTTCTTTTCCGAATAGCAATGTTCAGAGGATGCTGTGGAAACCATAACCATGCACAGTACACTTCATTCTGAAAGCCATTTCGACCCAAATCGTAAAATAAATATATAAATAAGAAAACTTTAGTAGAAGAAATGGCAGCAAAGACGACATGAGGCCGACCATCACCATGGTTCAGGACAAACGGTCGCGCATCCGATGAAGACATCCATATTATTGAAGTATGAAAAAGGAGAAATTTTGTTCGATCTACAGGCCATGTTAGACAATACCCAGTTCTTTTTTTTCTTTAGCTGGAAGTGAAAGTTCATTCCAAACCAAACACACAGACCAGTTTTCCAGGTTGATGGGTACACAGTGACAGAGTGCGAGAAACTCTTAAACCACTGATGCTCAGTCATATCAAAAAGACTGTGAAGATTTGATCATCAACTCACAAGCTTTCCTGATGCAAGGGTGTCGGAGAGTACGATCTTGAAGAAGCGACGGCTCCCAAGACGGGGACCGGTGGCGACCTCCGGCTCGACAGCTCCATCTTCTCTCCGGCGGCGACGACGACTACAAGCCATGGACAGCAGCGTCCCCTGACTCCTTACAGAAGAAGAAGAAGAAGGAGAAGGAGAAGGAGAAGATGGTTTGGGGGGTTTCAACTTCAACTACGTGAGCGCGGAGCCTTTGTTCTTCAGCGTGTCACTGGAGGGGGCGAGTGCAGAAAACGAGCTACAATGGGCTCGACGGACAAAATATTGGGTGCTTGAGTCCATTCATAGATTGACGCGTGTACACCTGGGCCCCACTCCGACTTTCATCAGACTCCCTTGTCGTTTCTTCCAGGACAGCGAATTGCTTCGTTCTTCTGATCACTGAAGCAGCGTTGGTCCTGGAGCGTTGGAATGAGGAGACGCAGAGGTGGGAAGCCAGGCCCAGCCTTCTTGCACTCCGTCTCGAACCGTTGGGGGCTGGTTCCACACTATCTTTGGCCCCTTGCCTGAGGCTCCGTCGTCGGGTGGCGGTGGTCGCCGGCATCTCTCTTACCGACTTTCGCTTCCTGGGATATCAAACTACCACATCACCGGCTTATGTGGTGCGATTGAGCTTGCGTGGTTCCACTCAAAATATGACAAGTGTTTATCCGACCTGAAATAAAAAATAAAAATCGAAAGCTTCTTTTCTCTCTCCTCTGATGTACTTGCGGAAACGAAGACGTTTAACCTCACATTTATTGCCTCTCTCCCCATCTCTCCCCTTTGTAACAAAACAATCGCTTCCCTTTCATGTTTGGACTCCCTTGTGCAACGAGAGCTTCCATCCTCCTTCTTTGCCTTCCTCTTCATCACCATTGTTGCCTTTTTGCCTCCAGCTCCAGAAACCATGTCGCCAACGATTTTGAAGCGGAAGAGGAAGAGGCCGGTGGCATTGAGTTTTGGGGTTTCTCCGTCAATGCACCTTTGCCTCTATTGACAAAAGATAACGATAAAAATCGTAACTTTGTTCTTCCTTGCTCAGATGCTCCTTCCTCAACTCCAGCTCCTCGCTCGAATGCTCCTCCCCGACTCCAAGAGCGACAAAATCGTAATTTTGTTCCTCCTCGCTCAGACGCTCCTTCCCAACTCCATCTCCTCGCTCGACTCTCGCCTCTCCGTTCCTCTCCTCAATGCCTCGCCCTTGCAAGACCCGGACCCAACTTGCTCATGACCCCTGGTCTTTATAGGGTAAGGAAACGGGGAGCTTTGGCTATATCACTTCCTGATAGTAGACCTTTTCTATTAATGCAGGGAACCTAGGATTCCCTCCATGTATGAGTTGGTAGTTTCTATATCATCAGTTCTAGTTCTGGAGAGCACTCGTGCGCATGCACTATCTATTTATTTTTTTTATTGGAAACATTCATAAATTCTATCTTATGTCTAAGTTGGTGGTTCCCCAGCGTACAAAATAGATAGAAAATTGGGAAAAGGTGGTTATGGCCAAGTCTATGTTGGCCGATGTGTTTCTGCTGGAAGTTCAAGTGATATTACCACTGGGCCAAGAGCTGTAGAGGTGCATATGTTGCTCAAGTTTTGATTGCTATAGTGTGCATATCTTTTTCTTATGACTCAATTAGCATTTTTTTTTCACAAGTGGCATTGAAATTTGAGCGCAGAAGCAGCAAATAATACAGCTACAGCCCCCTCATGAATAACAAGTCTACAAGTAAGTATTCTTGTCCTATTACATTTTTACTCCTTTTTGTCACGTTATGTTATTAAATTTTACATTTTTTTTCTGGCATATATATACATCAATCTCAGTGGTAGTCATGCTGTACTAAGAATACACTACAAGGGTCGACAATGTGATTTCTATGTCATGATAGTCATAGAATTTATGAATGTTAATAAATAAATAGATAGTGCATGCACATGAGTGCTCCCCAGAATTAGAACTAATGCTATAGAAACTACCAACTCATACATGGTGGAGGGAATCCTAGGTTCCCAATATTAATAGAAAAGGTCCACTATCAGGAAGTGATATAGCCAAAGCTCCCCGTTTCCTTACCCTGTGAAGACTAGGGGTCTTGGGCGAGTTGGGTCCGAGTCTTGCAAGGGCAAGGCATTGAGGAGGGGAACGGAGAGGCGAGACCGAGAGGATGAAGGTGGAGTCGAGCGAGGAGCTGGAGTTGGGAAGGAGCATCCGAGCGAGGAGAAACAAAGTTACGATCTTTGTCATTCTTGGAGTCGGGGGAGGAGCGCTCCAGCGAGGGGGTGGAGTTAAGGAAGGAGCGTCTGAGTGAGGAGGAACAAAGTTACGATTTTTATGTTCTCTTTTGTCAACAGAGGAAACGGTGTGTTGATGGAGGAACCCCAAAACTCAGCGCCATTGGCCTCTTCCGCTTCAAAATCAATGGCGACACAGTTTTTGGAGCTGGAGTCGGAAAGACAACGACGCCAACAAGGAGGAAGGCGAAGAAGGAGGATGGAAGATCTCATTGCATAAGGGAGTCCAAACGTGAAAGGGAAGCCATTGTTTTGCTACAAAGAAGAGAGAGAAGGAGAGAGTGAGAGAGGCAATAAATGATCACAATAACGTGAGGTTGCGTGTTTTCGGCAGGTGCACTAGAGGAGAGAGAAAAGGCTTCCGATTTTAATTTTTTAATTCCAGGTCGGATGACACTTGTCACATTTTGGTTGAAGCCATGCAAGCTCAATCACGCCACATAGATGCCACGTAGGCCGATAATATGGTGATTTGATATCACTTAATATTTTCTCCTGCTGAGCTGTGGAACTAGTAGTCTGCGGTAGTCACGAGTAGGGGTGGAACTAGTAGTCTGCGGTAGTCAAGAGTAGGGGTGATCGGTTTCAGGTGGGCCGGTTCTCACCCTGGACTCGAGAACTGATTCCTGGACCCACTGGAGAATGAGTTCACCGATCTGGTCCAATCCAGTTTCCTGGTGGGTCCATAGAACCGGCCATGACATTCAAGAACTATCGCATTATCTGTTCTAAGTCACATTTCGTCAAACATATTGTGTGTATTGTTGAGGATTAAAACAAGGCCTTAACAAACTTAGTTTTGAATCCTAACTCATACAAAAACAACTTGATGTGCAGGAAAGCTATGAAATACACTTGGATCACGAACGAAATAGCCTAAAAGAAGAGAAATGATTTCTCAAACAGAATGAGACAAAGTATAACAAGATATTCGATCTTCCACGGTTAATGAGTGGAACCGAGGCTATAAGTGACTATTAAATCATTCGGAGCTTTTGGCCTTGAAATAGAGGAAGACATAGAGACTAGTCGCGGCTGCTTCGGAGACAGGATTTTCGGTCGCGGATAAAGATCGGACAGAGATCTTGTGAGGAGGCGTTCCTAGTAGCATCAGCGATTTAGTTGGTGCGAGGAAGATCCAAGAAGCGTCACTTGTGAAGATGAGCAACAGTTAGGAAGCTTCAGATGCAAATAGCTTGCTTTGAGTTCCTACAGCCAAGAACAGGGACGAACGGGGGTTCATTGTGACCGCCAAATTGTTGGTTATGTCTTAAGGACCATTTTCGGTCATTTTTGTTCTGGTCTGTTAGCTGGTTGTTTTTTGGTTTTACTTAGTCAACAAGATAGTAGGAGTTTGTTGTTTTCAGTTCCTATTTTGTTGCTAGTTAGTGGTGTAGTGGTTTTTGTCAGTTACTAAGTTAGTGCAATTCAGTTTTCGTTGTTTTAAAAGAGCTATGTACTCTTCTCGTTTTTGAGAATGTGATAAGTGCATTTCCAGATGAATCTTCTCTTGTTCTTCTACATTTGAGAGCACATTCTCTGTAAAAACAGAGAGCACATTCTGTGCAACAAAAGTGGTATCAGAGCCCTATTGATCTTAAGGGACTTGTGAGAGAGTGCTAAATTCAAAGTAGAGCAAGAAAGATGGAACAAACTGGTGTACCTGCTGCCTCATTCTCAACCATCACAGCTCCAATCTTCGATGGAGACAACTACGTGCATGGGCAGTGAAGATGCAAGCTTTCATGGAGGGTGCGGACCTATGGGAAGTCGTGGAAGAGGACTACGAGGTTGCCGATCTATCCAACAACCCAACTATCAATCAAATCAAAACCATAAAGAGAGGGTAACCCGAAAAGCAAAGGCAAAATCTTGCTTGTTTTCTCATTGTCTCCTCGACCATATTTACTAGAATCATGAAAAAAGATTCAGCACATGATATATGAAATTATTTAAAGGAAGAATGTGAAGGGGATGAGAGAGTGAAAGGAATGAAGGTGCTGAACTTGTTAAGGGAGTTTGAAAGGCAGCAGATGAAGGAGAATGAGTCTGTGAAAGAGTTTGTTGATAGGCTAGTTGATATAGCCAATAAGATACGGGTGCTAGGGACGGATGTAGATGATAAAAGGCTGGTTCGAAGGTTTTGGTTGCATGTGCTCGAAAGGTTTGAAGCAACCATTGCTTCCCTTGAGAACACTAAGGACATTTCGTACATCAAACTTGTCAAGTCCTAAGTGCTCTAGTGCTTAGGAGCAAAGAAGGCTTATGAGGAAAAATGAGCCTATCGAAAGTGCTCGCAAGCAAGCCGCATAGTGCGTAAAAGGGAAGAGGATGGAACCAAAATAGAAGACATGTTGAGGCCAATCATAGTCATAGTCAGGGAGGTTCAAGCAGTGGTGGATATGACAGGAAGTGGAATGCAGTTCCATGCAAGCATTGCGGGAAGAAAAATCATCCTCATTTCAAGTGTTGGAAGAGACCAGATGTGAAGTGCAGGAGGTGTCACAAGATGGGCCATGTTGAGGCCATTTGCAGGGAGAAGCATCAGCAACAGCAAGCTGAAGGTCAAACTGCAGTAGCCAGTGAAGTGGAGCACCTGTTTGTTGCCTCCTGCTTCATCTCAAATGCATCTAGAGATGGATGGCTTGTGGACAGTGGATGCACCAACCATATGACAGGTAATGAAGGATTATTTAGCAATTTAGACAAATCTGTGAAGTCTAAAGTCAGGATTGGCAATGGAGAACGCATAGAAGTAGAAGGCAAAGGTGATGTAGTGCTTGAAGGTCCTGGTGGTGTTAAGCTTATCACAGAGGTTATGTTTGTGCCAAAGATAGATCAAAACCTGCTGAGTGTGGGTCAGTTAGTAGAAAAGGGGTTGAAGGTCGTGTTTGAGAAGAGTGAGTGAGTCTGCCATAGGAGATGAGAATGGTCACATCCTTTTCAGATTCCTATGAGGAACAAGTGTTTTACATTTGATCCAGCTTGATGAGAATTTTGAAGCCATGAAAAGTATACAAGATGAGGAGGAGTTATGGCATAGAAGACTCGGGTCATTTCCATAGAAGGGCCGCAATACTTGCAAAGCAAAATGAAATGGCAAATGGGGCTACCTATGTTGCGTAAGGAAGTAATCGGCGTAGAGCATGTTTACAAGGCAAGCAAGTGAGGATTCCTTTCAAGAGGTCAAATTGGAGGGCCAGTGAAAAGCCGCAACTAATCCACACGTATGTGTGGGTCCAATGCCGAAGAATCACCGAACGGCAAGAAATACCTCATCACTTTCATAGATGACCGCACTAGAATGTGTTGGGTGTACTTCATGAAGAATAAGGCTGAAGTTAATGAGATTTTTTTGAGGTTCAAAAGAGAAGTAGAGAAGGAGAGTGGCTGTAATATCAAGACAATTAGGTCAGACAATGGAGGAGAATACACCTCTGCAAGCTTCGGGCTATATGTGA